AAAGTAGATTGCCCAGCCTTACTTCTGTGGAGTGGGTTAGTGGGTTTGAACCACCAACCTTCCAGTTAGCAGTCAGACGCCTTAGGCACTGTGCTACCAGAGCTCATTCTACGCTGATGAAAAGAACCCAATAAAGAAGTCTGAGGATACAAGGTGAGGCGGGAGATAACCAAATTATTAAGATCCCTGAGAATACAGAAGCTAAGATGCAGAGCATACCTGAGTCTGACAGGAGGCGGGGCATGGCGTTACCCATGCTGAAGTTTACCAAGTCAGAGAAGGGCTTATGGTCGTCTACCTAGGAAAGCAATTGGAATGATAGACTTTGGGATCCAAATTGGCTAAGGAGAGAAGTAAAGACAGGAAAACCTAATAAAGAAAAAGTAAAGGAGACAGTCAATGAATTGAGATTTTGTTGAAGTTCAAGAATACAGGGACTTCTATTTAACATGGCGCCCTGGTGGCACAGTGGTTAAAGTATTCAGCTGCTAACTGAAAGGTCAGCAGGTCAAACCCACCAGCTGTTCTGAGGAAGAAAATGATGAGGCAGTCTGCTTCTATAAAGATTTGCAAACCCTGTGGGACAGTACTACTCAGGTATGAATAGAAATTGACTTCAGGGCAACAGTTCGGTTTGGTATTCTGTTTAACATGGCCTAACTGACTGAGCACATTTGTTTGCCTCGGGGTCCTTCCAAAAATCCCCTAAAACGAGAGTAAAGCCACTAATGTGAAATAATAATAAAGGCAGGAACCCAGAAAGACAAAGAGAATAGAAATATGACAGATGCCAACAAAACTGTGGAAAGTGGAACGCTAAAGTCTTAGAAGATCTGAGAAGGCTCGCCTGGTGGGGAGAGGGGAGATGGGATGAAAATGAGAAGCCAAAGGACAACCTGATTTACACTCCAAAATCCAAGAAAGGCTCAGGAATGGAAAGCACCAAGGACAACGGAAGGCAGATGCACAGGTGGAGCTGAAAACAAAGAGGTGCGGGGCTACGTTGAAAATCCGTGCAAGAAGCCAGCAGACTCCCAAGATTCCTACCTTCCTGAGTGGCATCATCACAGAAGACTCAAGGTCTACTTTGGGAAGACTGAAGTAGAGGGACTCTGGGACAACAGACCCAGCAAAGGACAGGAGTATAATATTGAAAACAAGAGATTATATTAAACCCACCAGCCACTGCTCAGAAGGAAGGTTGGGCAATCTACTTCTGTAGTGATACTGCCTCGGAAACCCAAGGAACGGTCGGTATGAGTCGGGTCCGACTCCACGGCAGATAACAACACATTTTGAGCTCTACATGTCAAGAGCTATTCTAAGCTCTTTATAAGTATTAGCTCATTTAATCATAGCTACCCCCTATGTGATTAAGCAGAAATTTCTGTCTAGCTCATTTCCATACACCAAGGCCAAGAACACTTGCTAGTACAAGGTAAGCACGCAAATACTGATTTACATACACACAACAATAAAGAAGAGAAGAGCTGGCTTTTGTATACAGTATGATGTAGCATTATCCCTATTTATACTTCAAGAAACTGTAAGATAATCAGGGTCATGTGACTCCCAGATCACAGAAGCTGACTAAACACTGCATGCGAATATAATGTGAATAATTTTCTTGTGTAGCTTAAAGTGGGCCTTATTTATCCACCAAGTAAAGGAGGATCTGAGTCCAAACTTTAAAATTAAGTGTTAACAACTAACAAACAATGAATTGTCAAATGCCATCTATATATTTTTTACAATTTTAAAAAGCGTAATATTCAAAGTTGCATATTTTGAAATAATTTACTATGCACTGGCCACAGACTGGTTTTATATATACATTTGTTTTTTTCTTTTTTTAAAGAAGGGGGTAAAATGTTTAAAGTACCTTTGGAAGTATAAAATGCAAAAATAAGAACGTTAAGGTGGGTATTTAGTCAGTTTGTACAAGCTGCTTCAGTTGCACAGAAATAACGAACAGCAAAGGCAAAGGTGAAACTTTGGGAGAGGAAGCATAAGACAGATGAATCAAAGAATACCGAAATAACGCAATAGACAGGTATGAGAGTTTGTAATTTTAGGTAAAAAGGGGCTTTTCTCAAACACCTCACAGGATGCTCACACCAGTTCTGCAGAACTGATCATTATGAAAACCTGAGTCAGGTCAGTAACCAAATCAGAAAACCAATATGAAACAAAATGAGAAAGCCAAAGATTTTCTGAAACCAGCATCCATACTTTTTTCTTTACACTATGTTGCAAAACCAAGGGGGAAACTCACGTAAGAATCTAGAAACCTGAGAAGTTTCGAGAATAATGAACTCAACCTAGAGTGAGAATCGACAAGGAACAGTGAGTGAGGTGCTGAGTAAGGTTACGACTGGGAAGAAATTGCCAGATGCAACACTTGAACCCGGGCCGGAGGGGGCAGGCGAATACAGATAAAGCATCCTTAACTAAGGGGAAGGTGGACTGGGATTGGGACCCAGTCCGATCACTGAGTTGAAGAAGACGAAACGGAAGAGTAGGGCCTAAGAAGCAGTAGCAAGTGTAAAACTTACGGACTAGATCTATGCCACAAGCGAGAAGTGTGGGACCTACACATCCGATCTTACGGGTTGGGAAAAGGGCCGGTTCGCAACCGACCAGCTGCCACTAGTTTCCGAGAAGCGGTAAGGTGTAGCTTCGCAGCCCCACCCCGCCGCAGCAGCTCCTCCCCAAAGAGAACCTCACGAGACCAAAAGCCGGGTGGAAGCTGCCTTCTCGAGCCTGGGTCTCACTCCGCCCCTGACCCGCGGCGCAGAACGGCCTCTTCGGGCCCCTCACCGAACGCTGCAGCTCCCCAAGCCAAAACGAGGCGCGCTCCTTTCCACTGGGATCTGGGTCGTGGTAAAGCGCCTGCACTGCCTGATACACGAGCTGCAAAGTCGGCTTCGCCCCTTCCATGGTGGTGGTGGCAGGGGCGGCAGCGATGGCTCCGGCTCTTCTTCCGAGGTTTCTCCGGTTGCTCCGCCTTTACGCTTCCTCAGTGTCTCGGCCACGGCCGCTCCCTGACTGGCGCCATCTCCTCCTCTTTGGCCGTTACCAGGGCAGAGGGGTTCTGCGTGGAAGTTGCCCCCTCGGAAACAGCGGTCAGGTCGTATTCAAGTTCCTGCCCTTTTTTTCCAATCTTTCCCCTAGGCTCTAGACTTCTGAGTCCAGACGCTGGTGCTCGCCTCTTCACCGCTGTCTCTCCCCGAGAAGTCTATCCCCGCCAGACACAAACCACGCTTGGGACCTGAGCCTCGTTTACCCGGACCGGAAGCGGCAGCACAGATACCTTTGGCACACTTCCGCCGCGTGCTCTGCAAACGGCCTCCTTTCCAATACGCCTTCTCGTCTTCCCGCCCCTTCCGGAAGTGATTGTGCCGGAGCAGCACCCGGGAAGAAGCGCTTGGATTTAATGCACTATGCTTATTGGGTCAGGCTAGAGCTGTAGAACCGACTTATGTCCCCTGGCCTGCTCTACTCTTCTTGGCAATGGAGCCTGGGTCTTTCCTTCCCTATCCTAACTTCCCCGTCCCTCTTCAGAGATCATTTTTGGCCCCCACGCATCGGGCATGTCAATTCAACCATCCAGTGTCCAGTGTACTAGAGACCCAAAGATAACTTTAAATCACTGACCCTGCGCTGACTCTAGTGAAGAAGACAGAGGCGTAATCAATTAACTTAAACCTAAAATAGATGCCACGTTGAAATAACGCTAAATGTCTAGAATCTCTTCAGCCCCCTTCCAAGTCCTTACTTTCAAAAGGGGTGTTTCATTCTACCACTCAGGATGCTTTGAACTCCAGAGCACTTGCATACGTATTCAGGGTCATTCTGGCGTTGAATTGTAACTTTGTGCATGCCTTTCTTTCCCAATAAAAACTCAGTTGTCTAACACTTGAATTCACAAAAGAAAATAGAACTGTTGGGATCTATGGACATAGTTGGGTTAAAAAGTAACAGTTTGTTAAGGAATTTCTCAACATTATTGCTACTTCTTAGCAGGCAGCAAATAACTGCTACTATTTGATGAATGCTTACAATGTAGATACAAGATGTCATTCACAATCTTCCCAAAGTTACTTAATAACAATGTTACCAAACAAATTATCATTTTACCTAATGAGAAACAGTTATGTAACTTGCCCAAAATTTATTGTCATCTGCTGCCAGTCACCCCAACTCAGGCACAGTGGAGCCCAAGATGACACAGTTCTTAAATGAAAGTCAGAATTGGAATCTTGATCAGTTTCACTCCAAAACCTGCACAATCTCTTTGATCTTATGTATTAGTTTGCTTCTGAATTGTTAATGTTTAACTGCACAGAGTTGATATAATATCAGACAAAAGAAAATAAACTTAATCTTTTAGTTACTTCATTCATTCATTTAAAATGATTTAGGACAATTTGGTCTCCTTAAAGAGTTAACTTTCTGATTGGAAAGAAAGAGAAGCAATTCAATACAGTATAAATAGACTGCAACTGGACCCCTTACCTCACACCATATACCAAAAATAAATGAATGAATAAAGGAGGCATCATTGAACTTAAACCTAAGACCTAAAGGTATAAAATTCTTAAAAGAAAACATGACCTTGGATCAGGCAATAGTTTCTTTGATATGACACTTAAAGGAAAAAGAAATTAATTGGACTTTATCAAAATTAAAGACTTGTGTGTGTCAAAGGACACCCACAAGAAAGTGAAATGACAATCCAAAGAATGAGAGAAAATATTTGCAAATCATATATCTGATAAGGAATTGGTATCTAAAATATATAAAGGATTTGAATAGACATTTCTCCAAAGAAGCAACAAATGGACAGTAAACACTTGAAAAGATGCTCAACATCATTAGTAATTTAGGAAATTCAAATCAAAACCACAATGGAACATCACATCACACCCACAGGAATGGCTACTATAAAAAGGCAATAATTACAAGTGTTGGTGAAGATATGGAGAAATTGGAACCCTGGTACATGCTGATGGGATTATAAATTGGTGCAGCTGTTTTGGAAAATCGTCTGGCAGTCCCTCAAAAGGTTAAATATAGAATTACCAAACCAAACCCATTGCCATCAAGTCAGTTCCAACTGTAGCAACCTCCAATGGTTTTCCAAGGCTGTATATCTTTACGGAAGTAGATTGCCTCATCTTCCTCCTGTGGAGCAGCTGGTAGGTTATATGACCCAGCAACTTCACTCCTAGGTATGCACCCAAGAGAAATAAAAACATATGCCCACACAGAAAGTTGTACACACAAAAGTATAGAATTCATTATTTTAAAAATAAATAAATAAAATTGGAACCAATTCAAATGTCTATTAACTTATGAATAGATAAATAAAATGTGCAAGTCCATACAGAGAGTCCTTGGGTGGCACAAATGGTTAAAAACCAACTACTAACCAAAAGGTGGCAGCTGATACCTGCCCAGATGCACCTTGCAAGAAAGGCCTGGTGATCTGCATTGAAAAACAGGGTTTGGAACCAGCTCAAAATAGTTCAGTCATGGCTGATGGAAATAAGGGCAATGTATGCATTGCATAGCAACCAAATCTCCTGCATCAGATTTAGGGTAGGAAACAGGCTGGTGGCACAGTGGTGAAAGCATTTGGCTGCTAACCAAAAAGTCAGTGGTTTGAACACACCAGCCACTCCATGGAAGAAAGATGAGGCAGTCTACTTCTGTAAAGATTTACAGCCTTGGAAATCCTGTGGCAGCAGTTCTACTGTGTCCTGTGGAGTGCCTATAAGTCAGAATCAACTTAATGGCAGTGGGTTTGGTTTTTTGGCAGTGGTGCTCTGCTCAAAAGTGACAGCTGACTGCACCACTTTGAATGTGTGTCAGTTGGTTGCCGTCTTTGAGTGGGGCACCACTGCCTGTTTCCTAAAAAAAAGAAAAAGAAAAAGAAAAGTCACTGCCATCGAGTCAGTCCCAACTCATGGCAATCCCTCCTTGGGTTTGCAAGGTGGTATCTCTATGGAAGTAGATTGCCCAACCTTCCTTCCGAGGAGTGACTGATGGGTTTGAACCACCAGCCTTCTGGTTACCAGTCAAATGCCTTGGGCACTACACCACCAAAGCTCCCATCTGTTCCCTACTTGAGTCAAAATCTGATGAGATTTGGTTGCTATGCAACACACACAGGGCCCTTGTTTCCATTGGCCATGACCAAACCATTTCAACCCTGTTGAAAACCCTATGGAGTGCAGTTCTACTGTGACCCACATGGGTCACCATGAGTCTGAATTAACTTGACTGCAATGGGTTTTAGTGTTATTATTATTCTGCTCTTTATAAACTGCAAAAGTGATTACATTTAGGACACACCCTATTCTGGTATGAACTCATTAACATAAAAAATAAAATAAAATCCCCATCTCCAAATAAGATCATACCCACAGAACGGGGGTTAGGACTTCAACACATATTTTGGGAGGACACAATTCAATCGATAATAATATGAAATATTTGAAATTCCAAAACCTCTATATCTTTTGTCCTTGGACACAATGGCCACATGGGAAAACTGGATTCTGATACAAAATTTTATGTGCCAACCCTAACCCCAACAAAAAGTGCTCCCATCCCTTTTTCCTATAAGCACATGAAACGTTTCATAAAGAAGAAGGTGGATTTTCTGAAGAAAAGAAGAAAAAAAAGTGTTTCTTTTACTCACTAGTGATGAAATTGCCTAAGGGTCGAAGGCCACACCTCAGTGCATGAGGTCCTCTGCAGACATGAGTATAATTTCTACACTCCCTTGAGCTGCCTGAGGGTTTCTGTAAAAGCTCAAATCAGCTATGGAATGGCACTCACAATTGTGAAGAACTTCAGGTTACATGAAGCATTGGTTGTAGTCCCACAGAACCCTCCTTGGTTCTCTTCTCTGGTCCCTTCACTCTTCCTTCTCCATCCTCTAAACCCCAGGGTGAGTCAAGCCACTGTGCTAATAGGGAGAAGTCACCAAGGCTGCATTTGATCTACCCCAGTTCTCATTCTTCACTTGTTTGGATTCTTCAGCCCTCCCTAGGAATCCTCTTTTCTTTCCTAAGCTAATTCAAATTGAGTTTCTGTCACTTGCCATCAAGAATTCTGATGAATACTCTGCCATTACTACCACTAGCTTTGGAGAGTTGAGAGTAGGCCCTCATTCTTGCCTGAAAGAATCAAATAACACCTGGTTTCTCCTTTGGCACACAGATCATAGTAAAGCAGTGCTAACCACATCGACGGAGTTGGATTATGCTTCACTAAAGGACAATACCCTTGGATTCAATTTCACAGCTGCCAGGAGCAGCAATCACAGTTGCCTTGGATAGTAAAAGCCCACTTGTAGGATAAAAGGGAGGAACTCTGGTAGCATAGTGCCTAAGGCACTTAACTGCTAACCAGAAGGCTGGTGGTTCAA